AGCCACCTTTGTTCCCTCCCCCCCCCTCCTTTTTTTGTCCTCTGCAAGGCTGTTTCTCAGCAGCCTTGCGTTGCCCTTTTCCCCTATGTGCTTTGGGACAGAGGACTTTGTCTTCTGCTTCCGTGCTGTGCCAAGAGGCCACTTTGTAGCTCGTATAAGGAGTAGCTAACAGCTGGCCCCAGTAGCCAAAACGGGAATCCAGAGATCTTCATCAAAATCACAGGGGGAGCTCCGAGGCTGCAGGATTTGAAGGAGAAAAACAAACCCAGAATCTCAGTCTTTCTAATAGTAAACTACAGCAAAACCCAAAGTGCGATTCAAAAGCAGAGGATCAAAGAGGGGGTCCCCTGGCTATGCATGCAGCAGCCCCCTAATGCTGCAGCCTTCCCCTGCCGCTGGGCTGTGTGCCGGAGCAAGGGCTGTGTCTCCTGGTCATCTTCCCATCTCTGCCCCAGCAGAGTCCACCTGATCTGACCCAGCCCATCCGGTCCTCAGCAGCCCTTGAGGCCACTGGCTCCACTCCCCCCACCCCGCCAGGATGAAGCAGGGTTGCAGCTTGCCGGGATATTTTCCTTAATTCATGACCTCGGTCTCCCCAGCTAGAACAGGCATCTGCAGTTTCTGGCCTTGAGCACAGCAGATGTGGGGCGCAGCTTATTCCCTTGTGTGAAGCTCGGTCTGCTTTCGCATAGGGATAAGGCTTGGATCACCCCGATTAGCGCTAAGGCACTGACAGCGCTGCTAAGAGATCACTGTGATCACAGGGAGCTTTATCTGGGCAGAGCCAAAACCTGACTTATCTGCCTGGATTACTAAGAGGATGCAAGCCATCAAGTCACCAGCAGGAAAACACCATTTCCAGTGTTACCCAACCTCTTCTTGGGGCTCAGATAGGGCATTTTTTTCCTGAGGGTAGTTGGGGTGAGCACTACAGATATGACTGGGAAGGCATCTGGATGAGCAACCGTGAAAGCAGACCATGATCCCTGCTTGAAGAGGGCAGGGAAGGGTCACGTAGTGAAATTCAGCACCTTTGTCCACTGCGTCTTTCAAGCCCCTCACTTTGGAGCAGAGCCATCCCTGGGAGCACCGGCAGCCCCTTGGCGGAGGCCCTGCGCAGTTGCAGCACCAAGTGAGCATGAACGCTGATGGAGTGGGCAGCAGCACTGGCTGAGCCCTGGACGCCATCCATGGAAACTCAGCACCAACTATAAGGGCTTTTTAGAGAGTTAATCACTTGTGTGGGGCTTAGGGCTAACCCCAGGCACGTGTTGCAGAGCAGGGCATACAGCCTGGAGAAAGGACAGATCCAGAGCCGCCTGCACTTAGCAAGGCCTGGGATCAGCACTCATGCACAGGGCAGCCCAAAGCAGGTCCCACATCGTGCAAGGAGACGAGGCCCTTCGTATGCACAGCAAAGCCCAAGAACTGCCCAGCTCCGCTGCTCTAAGAGGGCTGCAACCCCCGGCACGACCAGTTTTGCTTGCTGCAGAGCGAGTTTCCATGCCTCCATCCCATCTTCTCCCCCCAGCCCAGGGGAAGTAACAGCCATAGAAGAAAGAAAAGCTTCAGCCAAGCCTGCCAGCCTTTCCCAGTGGCTGCTGGTCCCCATCCAACCAGGCCCCTTTCTCCCACCCCCTCCGCCCATGCAGCGGAGCAGAGAGGGGTTTCTGCTAGCACTTCCTGACCCTGCGCTCTGCCCCGGTGGGAGAGCAGCAGGGCACAGTGCTTCCCCACCCCATCACCTTCCGTATGCACATCCTGCTTGCCCCTCTGCAATAGCTATGCCCACAGCCCGCACCGTTAGCTTCTATCTGCTGCCTCCTCAGACCCACAATGAACTACTCTATCCACCTTGCAGCAAAGGAGGAACAGAGGATCAGCCACTGATGAAGAAATCAGCTCTCTGCACACTGCCCTGGAGGCAGCATCCCTGTGCTTCATGCCACCACCTGTGCACTGATCGTGCTAATGGGTAAGTGAGGAGTTAATGCTGGAGCAGGGCACTGGCTGCAGAGGTGGAAAAGAAGAGTCAGAAAACATAGGCGCTTGCTCATTGTACAGACTGTGGAGCTACTGAATTCAGGGTTCCCACCAGCCTCCCATGATCCCTGCTCTTCCTCACCTGGCCCCAGCTCAGGCTCTCCAGCTCCTCCAAGCCTCCTCCCCAGGAGCACAGCCAAGCTCCACAGCAGAGCTGCAGGGCTGCAAAAGGCACCAGGAGTGGAGGGTCAAGGTCTTCCAGCAACAAGGGGCTCCAGGGCCACTTACAAACTCAGCCAGTCCTCTTATTTTTCCAATTACTTTACAATTGACTATTGCTGGAGCCTGTTCAGGAAGCAGGTGCTGCTCTTGTCACAGGTGCAGACACCCCTCAGTGCTTGACAGTGAATTTGGCAGAGCAAAGGGGAAAAAAAACCTACAGCTGGCAGAGCCACTTCATTTTGGTAGGATCCATATGATGGAAGATAAATTTGCTTGTGCCTTGGAGAGGTGGGAGGAAGCTGCAGCATTTGGCAGGCACCTGCACTAGCTCCCAGCCAAGACCACCTTCTCCTCCACTGCCTGCCACATGGATTTGCAATGCCCCGGTCCCACAGAAGCTGAGCCAAGGCACCACAGCCTCGGTCTTCCCCATGCAGCACAAGAGCTGCTTTGACCTCCCACGGCAGCAGGCTTCATGCTCATCTCTCTCCCAGGAGGGGCACGTGTCTCAGCGCAGCCAGCCCACCATCACCCGCAGTAATGCGCTTAATGCGTCAGCTCGCTCCAGGGTCCTTTAATACAAGTCCATTGGGATGGCAGAGTTTCAGAGGAAAGGCCACGCAAGCCTCTGCTTCCCTGCCCCACTTCCCAGGCTCCCTGCAGCTCCAGTTAAGAGAGGCAGGCTGCCCCCAGGCTAAGTGTGAGAAGGGTGGGTAGGACACAGGGCAACACTACCTTTTCCTTGCAGGAGTCATGCCCTACCTGGAAAGGCAGCCTGGCCTAGACAGCTCTCTCCCTCCCCACCAGCAGCTCTGCAGCCTTTCACAGCATGTGAAAAAACAGAAATACTGTTTCAGGGGGAAAACTAACGCGAGTTCCCCCCTTGTTCCCTGGCAAAAGCAGTTACCGAAAGCAAGGTTGCCAGGAGGAGGCCCTGAAGCCAGCCCCCTCCAGGATTCATTGAAAAGACAGACAAACACCGTTAAAAGGCTTGGAAAATTTTATTCTTTAGTGAACTTTAATAGATTTCTGTTTGTTTTTACACAATAAATATTTCAGTCATAGCATTTAACAGACTGGAATTCAAACCCACTTCAGTACCTAAACTCCCAGCGACAGGACGACTCTGCTGAAGCGATCGGGAGCCCTGGGAACGGAGAAGCGCCGAGAACCGCTTGTGGCTAGGTCTGCTTGTTTGATCGGTATTTAAGGAAAGCAGATGAGCTGGTCCCAGCACAGCACCCAGGCTCCTGCGGTGCTGCGCGGGAGAAACGCAGCAGCTCTTCTGACATATAGCGGTG